TATGTGAATAGTGTGTATGTTTAACGGTAGCCTATTATTAATGGTTTTTGGTGTTATTAAAATTATCGAGGGTAATTTTATAAGAGAAAAATAGTATTACATTGTTTAATTTGATTTCCTTGGTTACCAAGAGGTTGAATACTTTCCTACATTTATTTACTAATTGTGATATTTCTTTTTTGACTCATCTTTTACTTATTTTGACAATTGAGATTAGTTTTCTTATAAAATTTAACTTTTTAATTTTCTTAGCTACAAAGCTAATTTAAATGACATGGTCATTAGTGAAGATACTGTACAAAAAGTTACTAAAGGCCCAATATTCTCTATGGCTCTCCACCCATCAGCAACTAGAACTTTGGTAGCAGCTGGGGCCAAATTTGGACAAATTGGACTTTGGGATTTGGTAAGTTATTATTAATTTTTTGAAGATATTAAAGTTTGAAGCAAATAGTATAGAAGAGAATAGGCCAGAGCCATGTGTTTATAAATGTTGCTTGAAACTTACAGTTTTGTGCTTTGTGATTCTAAGTTTTAGAAATCTGGAGGAATTTAAATTTGCTTTGTAGAACTTTAACATTTTTAGCTTGAATATCATTAGCCATCTGGGCATGCATTAACTGCCAGGAAGCTTTATTAAAACTTTAAATGTATATGTGAAAAGATCACACAAAGTTCTTAGTTTTCTAGTTACGTTTAAAATATGGTCTGCTGTGGTCTGAATGTTTTTGTCACCCCCAAAATTCATACGTTGAAATATCCCTCATTGTGATGGTATTAGGAGGTAGGGCCTTTGGGAGGTGATTAGGTCATGAATGGGATTAGTGACTTTTTTGATAAAAGAAGCCCAAGAGAGACCACTGCCCTTTCCACCATGTGAGGATACAGCTAGAAGGTACCAGCTGTGAACCAGAAAGTAGGCTTTTACCAGACACTTAATCAGCTGGAACTTTGGTCTTGGTTTTCATAGCCATCAGAAATGTGAGAAATAAATTTTTGCTGTTTATAAGGCACTCAGTTTATGGTATTTTATTATAGCAGTCTGAATGGACTCAGACACAGTCTCTAAGCTGGATCAAAATGTCTTCCCAGGGAACTGCCTGGGACGATCCCTGTCATCTTTTGATGAGTCAGAAACATATTGAATTCCATTCATTGTGCATAGAGTTCTACATTAAGTGCTTTCAGTAGTTACAAAATTGAGAAAAACCAACTTTATATACTCCGAATTTATTTTCTAATTGGGGAAGTAGAACAAAGACGTAAAAAATGCCATAAGGACAGTTAAAGAAGATAAAGAAACAATGGTGACTTGAAGCTAGTTGGAGTTTATAAACAAATTTTGCAAGTGCAAAGACAGAAAAACCACAAATTCTCTCTTGTTTTAGGATCCTAGCTTCTCTCTTATTTAATAAGATGTGAGCTGGAGTAGGAAGTGAAAGGATTTAGCAAAGGAAACTGAAGCAGGGAAGTGAGAAGAGGATCAGAATAGAAGCCAAGAGATGAGTTTCAAGGATGGGAGGTTGGCAGGGCCTCTGCAGAGAAGTCAGAAAGAATGGGAGCAAAGAAAAGGACATTAGTTTTGAAAATAAGGTCCCATTCATGAGAGAATCGCTTTGACGATGAGTTAAGGAAGGAACACAGCCTTTAGGAGATTAAGAAAGTATAGGATGGTGGAACAAGTGGAAGAAGCAATGGATAAAGACTACTTCTTGACGAATTTTGAAAAGGAAAAATTGAGAATTAGCATTGTTAAGTGAAGATCTTTTTAGGGTGGGTTGATCTGTACAGAGTTGAAGACATTTATTTAGAAAAGTCCTTTTTTCATATCTTTCCTGGTGACTCCAAAAATCCATATTACTAGGTCTCTGTAGTCCAATATCTCCATCAACCTTCTAATTTTCCAGGACATTTGGCCATCTTATTAACAGATTCAGCAAGCCCAAGAGCAATATCATTTTGCCTGTCCTGTGCTCATGCCCTGGATCTCCCAGTTTTTAAAAAATTGTACTTTATTGAGGTATAATTTACATATAAAAGCCATCCATTTTAAATGTACAATTCTATGATTTTTAGTAAGTTTACTGAGTTATAGAACTATCACGATCCACTTTTAGAACATTTTTGTCATCCCTATAAGATCTTTTATGCTCGTATATGTATTTACTGGTTGATTGATTGGCAGGATTTCACTCTGTTGCCCGCGCTAGAGTGCAGTGGCGTTATCATAGCTCACTGCAACCTCATATTCCTGGGCTCAAGTGATCCTGCTGTCTCAGCTTCCATAGTAGCTAGGACTGCAGGCACACACTACAATGCCTTGCTAATTAAAAAAAATTTTTTTTGTAGCGATTTTTTTTTTTGTAACTCTACTCTTCTATCCATCTTTCCCTCCCACTTCCCTTACAGCTAAATAGGCAATTGTAGCCAACATTGAGTCACTCAGTAAGTCTCAGCAATGTTTGATTTTGCAGTTGAGGATCCTTTGCTAAGTGAGACCAATAAGAGAAACACATTTTCCATGGTCTTGGAAAGATGACGTTTGTTTCATGGTCAGTGGCCTTACAAAAAAAATCTATTTCTGATTTTTGTCAACCTTCTAGTTTTCTCTTAAGTAATTTTGTACAAATTAAAGTTATCTTGAAAATATTTTGCCAGAAGTAAAAAAAAAAAACAAAAACCAAAAAAAAACCCTGTTTCTCAGGTTGGTCCTGAACTCCTGGCCTCAAGCAATCCTTCCTCCTTGGCCTCCCAGAGTGCTGGGATTACAGGCATGAACCACCAAGTCCAGCCAGAAGTAGTAATATTAATATGGAAATGCAAAAATACATGCCTTTCCATGGTGTATTTAGAAGACAGAGTACTTTTTTTTTTTTTTCTGAGACAGAATCTCACTCTGTTGACCCCGGTTAGAGTGCAGTGGTGTCATAACTCAATGCAACCTCAAACTCCTGGACTCAGGCAATCATCCTGCCTCAGCCTTCCAAGTACCTGGTACTACAGGCACGTGCCACTGTGCCTGGCTAATTTTTTCTGTTTTTAGTAGAGACGGGGTCTTGCTCTTGCTCAGGCTGGTCTCAAACTCCTGACCTCAAGCGATCCTCCTGCCTCAGCCTCCAAAAGTGCTAGGGTTACTGGTGTGAGCCACTGCACCTGGCCTCACAGAGTACTTTTAAAACTATTATTTTGTGCCAAGATCAAATACCTTATGAAAATTATACTGAGAATTATAATGTTATATAGAAGCCTACTTCAGGAAGCAAAGTGGTAATGGTATTGATACTGTTTTTGGAAGTAATTA